TGGAGTGGACTGTGATATGACGAATCCCCTCTCTGGTTAAGGGTGGCTTCCACCTTGCAGGCCCTGGGTACTTCCTCCTTGTGCTGCTCTCCACGGGCCTCCCCAGAACCACTGCTCTGCAACTGAGTCCTCCGGCTCACAGTATCTGCCCTGCTGCTGTTTCAGAGCCTCCAGGTTCAAGCTTTCCACCTGTCTACACTCACTTCCGAGTCATCTGTTGAGTTCCACTGTCTGCATCAGGTTGTAGACCTTCAGACTTCTTTTTGTCTGCGTGACTACAACCAGTGGTTGGCAGAGGCTACTCCTAGCTCTGGGCATGGGCATTGCTCCTGGTGGTGCTGGGGAGTGAACCTGGAACTCCTGCACGTGTTCAGCCTATGCACAGTCCGCTGAGCTCTCTCCGGCTCTGATCTTCAGACTTCACTGTTTTAAGGTTCACTTTACCAGCCTTCTTTCATTCTTAAGTTGTGGGGGCCACACAGCCACAATCAGTATATGCTCTAACTTGGAACCACCTCCCCAAACCCTGTACCAAGTTTCTTGACTGCCAAGATAGCATCAGAATACAGCATCACAGAATCTATGCATAAAGCAGAATGAGTATCTGCACTGCCTTCCAGAAGCTGTTAACTTGGGGGGCCAGAGAAATAGTCCAGTGGGTAGGGCTCTTGCCTTGCATGTGGTCGACCTGGGTTCGATTCCTGACATCCTGTATGGTCCTCTGAGCCTGCCAGCAGTAACCCCTGAGCATCACTAGGTGTGGTCCCAAAACAAACAGAAGGTGTTAAATGGCTTCATCATACACCCAGTAACTCAAGTCAAATGCCTTTGGGTCATCTTTGATTCATCTTTCCATATCCCCCATGGGCTGGAGCGATAGCACAGCGGGAGGGCGTTTGCCTTGCTCGCAGCCAACATGGCTGACCTGAGTTCGATTCCTCCACCCCTCTCGGAGAGCCCGGCAAGCTACCGAGAGTATCTCGCCTGCACGGCAGAACCTGGCAGGCTACCCGTGACGTATTCGATATCCCAAACACAGTAACAACAAAGTCTCCAATGGAGATGTTACTGGGCCCGCTCGAGCAAATTGATGAACAACAGGAGGACAGTGACAGTGACAGTGATATCCCCCACACAATCCATCAGCAAATTATCTTTCAAAATAAAACTTTTATTTAGGGCCAAAGAGAACAATGGGTATGGTAATTGTATGCGGTCGATCTGGGTTTGATCCCTGGAACCCATATGGTCCCCCAGCCCTGCTAGGTGTGATCCCTGAGCACAAATCCAGGAGTAAGTTTTGAGCACTACCGGTGGAGCCCATAAACAAATATGAATAAAATGCATCTTTATTCTCTGACTTACTGGCAGTGCTTGAGGCTACTCCTGGCTAGTGCTTGAAGCATCCTGCAGTGCTGGGATCAACCCAGGGCTGCTGCATGCACAGCATGTGCTCCAGCCCTTTGAGCTATTTCCCCAACCCTCAAAACGCACCTCAAACAAGTCACTTTACTGCTGCTACCGAAGTGTCCATGTTTCCACGTGGTTTACTACAGCTGCACCCTTGCTGGAGTACCCATCTTTTTCTCCACACCAAAGTGATAGTAATACTTCTGAATATATGATATACCGAACATATGCTGTCACTTGCCTGCTCACAGCTCTCCCAGGGTTATTTAAAAACAAGCTAACAGTAGGACACTTACCATAGCTTACATGACCTGTGGTAACCAAGTCCCTGATACCACTCTCCCTCCTGCCACTCTGCTCCTTCCTTGAAGCCCTTAACCCTAACGAGAGCTCCCAGTTCTCAAACAGGCTCAGTCTTCAATTACTACAAGCACACTCGGTCCTCAGATCCCACAGCATACTTAGTCCACAGATACTACTACAGCACACTTAGTGTACAGGTACCACAGCAGACGGCCCGCAATGTCCCACAGCACACGGTGCACAGCTATCACAGCACATTAACTCCAAGGCCCTTGCACTTGTCGAGCTTCTGCCTGACAGCTCTTTGGACAATGGCTCCTGTGTACCTCTTAGGTTCCACACAACTGGTTCCTCCTGAGAAAGGCTTTTGCTGCTGCGTTTTGGTTTTTGATGGCACTCAATTATCCCTCATTCAGGGACATGCTCAATTGCTTCAACCACAGGGCTTCCAACACGTTTTCTATTGCACCTGTGTTCCTAGAGCAGCGCCTTGAATGTAACAGGTGCTCAGCCTTTTTTGAAGAAATAAACGGATCCTGTGTGAAAGAACTCACAGGTGAATGCACGGAGGGCTCTGATGATTAGATTCCCACATCCAAAGAGCAGAGGGGAAGCTGGGAGCAGCTCTTAAAAGAAGACCCTTGCTCCGGAACAGAAAAATGGTATCAGTCTCTATCTGGGGACCAAGATAGTCCAGCAGAGAAGGCACTGACCTTGCATACAGCAAACCCTGGTTCGAGTCCAGGTTCCCCATACAGTCCCTCGAGCCCCAGCAGGGGTGATCCCCAAATGCAGAGCCAGGAATAAGCCCTGAGCACCTCCAGTGTGACTAAAATAACAAAATAAATCTCTCTGACCTCTCTCCTGCATGCAAAGCGTATGCACCTAATTACATACAAAGGGAATCGTCCTTAGTTGTGCATAAGTTTTGTTTCTTGTAAAATACTAGCCATTAGGCAGTGGCATCGTGCATGCCTTGCATGAGACCTTGCGTGCAAGCCAGGTGCGGGGGCAGGAGACTCTGAACATTAGTACATGCCAAACATCTGAACCATTTCTAAGTTGCTTAAAAGGAGGTTTTTAAATTTTCTAGCACGTTTTTTTTAAAAAAAATTGTAACAGGACGTATTGTACTTAAAAGCTTACACAAAGTCACATGACTTCCAGAATTTCCTTGAGGTAAGGTGAAATTCCTTTGCTTGCTTATTGGGTTTTGGGGCCACACCCAGTGGTTGAGGCTGGAGACGGGACAGCACGTAGGGCACCTGAGCACAGAGCTAGGAGTTAGCTCTGAGTGTGGCCTCCAAACAAACAAAAAACACCCAGCAGTGCTCAGGGATCACTCCAGGCAGGGTTCGCTGACTGTATGTGGTACTGGAAATCGAATCTGTCAGCTGTGTGCAAGGCAAGTACCTCAACTCCTGTACCATCTCTCCAGCCTGAGTGACCTTTAAATATGTCACCTGCAGGCTGAGACTGAGGGTGAGGGTGCCTGGTCTCTCTCCTCCTGTCCCCACAGGCCTGTCCAGGTCAGAGCTGGTTCTCAGAGCACATATCACTCATATACACACACGTGTGGCTGGAATAGTGCACTAGATATAGCTTTTTGTAAATAGACCTAAACTTTTATTTTTTACTCTACAGGAGATAGAAAATTTGAACACACACACACACACACACACTCACACACATATTAGAAATCTTTAGATTCAGTGCCTTTTATCAGGGCTGGAGCGATAGCACAGGGGCTGGAGCGATAGCACAGTGGTAGGGCATTTGCCTTGCACGCAGCTGGTCCGGCCGGCCCTGGGTTCAATTCTTCCGCTCCTCTCGAAGAGCCGGCAAGCTGCCAAGAGTATCTCACCGGCATGGGAAAGCCTGGCAAGCTACCCGTGATGTATTCAATATTCCAAACACAGTAACAAGTCTCACAATGGAGATGTTACTGGGCCCGCTCGAACAAATCAATGAACAACGGGAGGACAGTGCTACAGTGCCTTTTATCAGTAAAGAAAAACAACATCTGGGGCTGGAGCGATAGCACAGTGAGTAGGGCGTTTGCCTTGCACATGGCCAACCCTGGTTCGAAAGCATCCTGCAGTGCTGGGATCAACTCTCCTGAGAGCAGAGCCAGGAGTAACCCCTGTGCATCGCTGGGTGTGACCGAAAAAGAAAATAAAAGGAAAAACAACATCTATCTTGTTCTTCTCCCCAGCAACTTCTGATGCAATCAACCCAGGTTATTAGCAGCGGGGAGCTGGTAAATGTTGTCAACCTGCTCTTGGGGCAAGGGGAAGCCACCGTCTGTGGCTTTTGCCAATCTCTGTGGCTTAAAGACTCCCACTGTGACTTGTCTCTGGGTGCCAACAAGTTACTGCTGGCAGTGGGGATGGGTAAGACACGTAGAGTGCACCTTTGTGGAGGATGTCCTTCATCCAGAGGGAACAGACCAAAATAGCTATCAAAGCAAACAGAAAAAGATCCAGAAGCGTTATGTTTAAATATTTATTACCTCAGTAGTATGACCTTTGTATAAATTCAATAAATTTCTATAATTTTTGTTTTTTCATGAGTCACACCTGGCAGTACTCAGGGGTCATTCCTGGCTCTGTGCTCAGAAGTGACCCCTGGCGGTGCTCAGGAGAGAGTTATACAGTGCCAGGGATCAAACAGGGTGGCAGGATGCCAGGCAAAGTGCCGTAATCCCTGGTCTATCTCTCCGGCCTCTCAATGATGGTTAATACTGGCTCTGTTTACCAACCAGCTCTCACGGTGAACATTCAACCCTTGGCCTTGGTAAGCTGGCGTGAGCCAGCCCTGACAGCGGCTTGAATTCCTGTCCCTGATTTAGTGTCGCAAAGAGATCATGATTCCACTTTGCCGTCTTCACGGTGAACATTTCAGCAGCAGGAGTTTGAGGGACTTTGGACGATTAGTAAGTAAAAAGCACATCAAATCCTTCAAGCATGCCCGGGAATAACTTGGGGTTCGTGGGGAGTCATTTAAAATATATCTACATAGAGCAGCTGGTTGTCGAGCTTTCCGACTTCATCCCTATTTTCCACTTTCCAGGAAGCACAGTTTCGTGCAGGCTGGCACACTCGCTCGCTGGTTTCTCATCCACCTTCCCGTGGCCCCCTGGCCGGCTCACGGCCGGAGAGAAGAAACGGGAACTGGAATCACAGGTTAACTAATGATTTGCTGGGATGGGCCGGGGTAGCGGGACACGGCGCCCCCTTGCCTGACACCCAGGCTCTGGGAAGATCCTCGTGGAGTGTAGCGAGCACCTCCATCTGCTCCCACGCGCGGCAGGCTTGAACCCTTTGGTCTGTGCTGGTGTGCGAGAGCCTGGAGTCTTCGTGGGCCTCCTTGGCCTGGTTTTACCTCTGGTAGAACTCCAAGTTTTCCATTCCAAGAGGCTTGTCTGGAGTAGGAGCTACAAAGAGAAAGCCAGGAGCATGTTGCAGCAGTGCCCGTAGCCGTGGGCTGCCTTTGAGAGCACCCCGGGGCTCCTGGGGGCGCCCCCACCCGCAGCTCCCCACCCGGAGCTCAGGGAGGCACCTCTTCCTGTCCCGCAAACAGCTGGTGCACCTGTGTACCGGGCGGGTGCCGGGGGCATGGGAATGGGGCCTCCCGTCTGCCCCAGCGTGATGGGGAGCCGTGGTCAGTCACTGGTTTATGGTTCAGCCAGCAACTTGCTTGACGTGGGGCCAAAATGAAGGCTCTGGGCTGAGCTGAGTTCTACCCTAGAATCTGACTCTGAATGGGAAGCTGGGGGAATCTCAGAACATTCGAGATCAATTCCAGACAACGCATTATTAGGTTGGAGGGATTGGAGGCATCTCACACAGCACGCGCCGTGTGGTAATCCGCAGGTGAAAGGGGTCCCGAGTGGAACGGGTTACCAAGGGCCTAAGAGGGGTCAGGAAGCTGGTGCCTGCACTGGGAAGCCAAGTTGCAGTCGGTGGGGCTGTTTGGGAACCCCCCCACCCCCGCCAGTGCAGGGCTTCACCAGGTGAGGGACATCAGGCCTGCAGGCTGCAAGAAGCCCACAGAAGCCTGGGGTCTGGCCCCATGCAGGACACGTGTTGCCCACAGATGCTCCTGCCTGTATCGTGTGGCCTGCAAATGATTTTATAACTATTCAGCTGGTCCTCGGCAGGAAAAAGTGTCCCCCGCCCCAGCCCTTCGATTTGAAGTCCACCTTTGCGAGAGGGCTGTGGGGTCCAGTGGCCCACTGCAGGGACTGCGCTATCTCTGGAGAGCGCCTCCTACCACTGGCCCCCTGACAGGGCACTCTGAGAGCTGGACAGAAGGCAGGGGCTTATCCAGAGCTCGGGGCTGCCCCTGCCAGGGGTCCAGAGGAGCAAACCATTCCCAAGTCTCTGCCCACAGCAGCTTCTCTCGGCTGTTTGCTGCCTGATAAGGAAACCAGGACTGGGGACAAAACCCTCCACTGTCAAGACACGGCCAGAGAGGCCGCAGGCCGGGCTCCTGCCGGGGAGGCAGCTCTGCCGCTCTGGGCCCAGTGAAGGCTGGAAGGAGATTCTTGGCTGTGGGTCCATGCATGGAGGGACAGAGGAAGCCAAGCTCAGAGCCCCTGCCTCTCTCCTCGTGGAGAAACCATGAGTCAGCCCATCCCACACACACACACAATCGCACAGCCCGGCTGGAAGAGGGAAAAAGGAAGCTGTAGAGAAAATAAACATTTCCTTGTATTTTCCTTGGACAGCAGCGCATTCGTGGTGTGTCAGCCACACGGCATCTCCCTCCCCACACGCTGTTTTCCTCCGCTTGTGCAGAGACAGGCTTTTTTTTCCTTACCTGATGAGAGCCCAGAGTACATCCTGTGGAAAAACAGGAGCAAGACATAGAAGGTAAAGGCCAGGCTAGCAAAGATCACGCCGCAGACCAGGAAACTATAGCTGCCCCGGGCCTGGAAGACCTGCCAACGGGAAACAGACAGCAGCCGTCAGACGGCATAGAAGACACGGGCGGGGGTGGCCCCCGTGGCCCCACAGCCCGGCAGGCTGGTCGTCTGTGGGGAGGGGGGGCGCAGTACACCCACAGACAGAGCCTCCTCTCAGGGCTGCCTCCTTCTCAAGGGGGGGGGGGGCAGATGCCTGCTCTCAGCAGCCACACCAACGAGGCCCTGTGGTCCCTTCCACTTGTTCTCTCTGGAACCTCCAGGAAAATCTCTGTTATCTACACTAAAATGTTCATTTAACATAGAATCATTCTAGGTATTGTCGTACCCATTGGCCTAACCAGAATTTTGCAGAGGATTAAAAAAAAAAGTTTCATTACACAAAATGTAAAATATATGGCAAAACTTCCCAAAGCACTGTACAAATTCAATGCTATCCCTATAAGGATACCCATGACATTCTTCAAAGAAATGGAGCAAACACTCCTGAAATTTATATGGAACAATAAGCCCCCACGAATAGCTAAAGCAATTCTTGAGAAAAAGGGAGACTAGCAATTCTTGGGAAAATGGGAGACTAACACCCAGGAGTGGCTGAGATTAGTACCAGGAATTTTGCTCCATGACTTGGAGGCCAGCCACACGTGATAGGGGAAAAGGAATCTCAGATAGAGAAGAGAGCACCAAATAAAGGGTGTTGTGAGGATCCTCCCAGGGTGGGAGAGACATGCTAAAACTAGTCTATAGACCAAACATGATTGCCACTCAGTGCCTCTCTGGCAAAACACAGTACCCAAAAGAAGAGAGAGAGAACAAGGGGGAATGCCCTGCCACAGAGGCAGGGTGGGATGGGGGGATGGGGGGTGGGAGGGGTGCTGGGACCCGTGGTGGTGGAGGATGGGCACTGGTGGAGGGATGGGTACTTGATCATTGTATAACTGAAACCCAAGCACGAAAATTTGTAAGTCTATAACTGTACCTCGTGGTGTTTCACTAATAAAAATTTTTTTTAAAAAATGCCAAAGCAGAAAACTCTCCTCCGACCCCAAGTTTCATCATATTTCTGAACTGAAAGATTCTCCTTGGTAGAAGTCTTCAAACAAGGACCAGAGAGACAGTGCAGGGGTCTTCAGGCACTCGCCTTGCATGCTGCCAGCCCTGTTAGAATCCTCGGCCAGTAGCACATCTGGTCCTCCAGTATGGCCAGGGGTCACTCCTGAGCACAGAGCCAGGAACTGCCCCTCGGCCCTCCTGGGTGTGACCCCAAACGAAAAAGAGCCTTGAGTGGGGCTGGTGCGATAGTACAGCGGGTAGGGCGTTTGCCTTGCATGCGGTTGACCAGGGTTTGATTCCCAGCATCCCATATGGTCCCCTGAGCACCGCCAGGAGTAATTCCTGAGTGCAGAGCCAGGAGTAACCCCTGTGCATCGCCAGGTGTGACCCAAAAAAGCAAACCAAAAACCAAAAACCAAAAAAAAAAAAACCTTGAGTAATAAGCATCGTAGCTGCTAGTACTCTGTGTTCCTGTGACTGAGAGCAAGCCGGTGTTTGCAGGGAAGATGGCTGTGCTGACCCACGGGAGAGCTGGGCTCTGCTGGGGCAGGGTGGGGAGTGGCGGGGGATGGGCACAGGGATAAAGCACATCACAGGTCCCGTGGCACCCCCGTGGGCCGCCCGTCCCACCCTGCTGCCAGCCAGGCCTGTGTCTGCTCGGGACGTCGCCTCTCCACGCCCAAGCACGCAGACTCAGCTTTCGGGGCTGGGCTGGGAGCAGGTGACACAGACCCCATCCGTGTGGGAGGGAGGAAGCGTGGGTTCAGAGGTGGGCTCGGAGCTCCCCCCAGTTCCCCACCTACCGAACCAACCAGCATCTGCAGGGTCATCTCGCCGATTCCTGCCCCCGTCACCAGCACGGTGGTAGCACAGCCTGCCCGGGAGAGAAGGCGGGTTGGCGAGGGCGAGACAGGGGACATGTGGCCAGCACCATCCCAGGCATTTCTGGGAAACTCTGAGATGGTACAGCCCCTGGGCTCCCCAGCACTGCTTAGGCCTGGGCCCTCGCTCTAGGGGTGCGGCAGCCAACTGCAACTGCAGGCTGCTGCACCTGGCGTCGGGAGCGCTCCCACCCATCTGCTGCCCTGAGCTGTGGCCAGCGGCAGCTGACTGATGCCCCAGCACCAGGCACGAAGGTCGGCTGTCGGGTTCAGGCCCAGCTTAGGGACCCACGAGCTCAGGCGAGTTCCCTGCTTGTGCAGGTACCCTTCTTTTTATTCTTTTGCTTTTTGGGTCACACTCAGTGATGCTCAGGGGTTCCTCCTGGCTCTGCACTCAAGAATTGCTCCTGGCAGTGCTTGGGGGGGACCATGTGGGATGCCAGGGATTGAACCCGGATCAGCTGTGTGCAAGGCAAACGCCCTTCCTGCTGTGCTATCCAGCCCCAGGTTCCCTTCTTTAAGGTGGGCATTGCAGGGGCATGCTGACCTAGGCATGTCAGTACTTAGCAGAGGGTGGCACACAGGAGGCTCTACCGCCCCCCAACCTCGATTTCTGGACACAAACGTGCCTCTCCCCAACTTCTCTCCGTCCCTCTGCCCAGCCGAGATCCCTTCAGCAGGGGCCCCTGCACGCCGCGTGAGGGCCCCTCAGTGCTCCTTGTTCTGCCCAGGAGGCAGCAAGGTTGGAGAACACCGGATCGCACATCCCCAGCACCCACCCTGCTACGCTCAGCACTGAGGGCCACGGGGGGGGGGGGGGGGGGTGGGCCGCCATCGGCTCTGAGGAACTTGGCGTCACTGTCTGTGTCGGGCTGCCGTTCCTCCCGAGACTCGCTTCTGTTTCTACCTGTCTCTGTCCTCGAATGCTCCCAACACAGGAATATTTCTCATTTTTCATCTCCCCTTCCAAATCCTGAGCCTGTGCGACTGTCCTGTGCTGGCCGTTCCCCCCCTCTTTTTTTTACCTTTTGGGTCACACCCGGTGATGCTCAGAGGTTACTCCTAGCTCATGCACTCAGGAATTACTCCTGGCAGTTCTGAGGGGACCCTATGGGATGCTGGGAAACGAACCCGGGTTGGCCGCACACAAGGCAAACGCCCTACCCACTATACTATCGCTCCAGGCCTTGTCTGCTCCCTTTGCTGGACCCCAGCGGTTCTTGGGGTCATTCCACCCAAACACGTGCAGACACTGCACCTGACACGGTGCTCTTGATCCCTGCCCCCAGCCCTGTGAGCCACGCACGCCTCTAGGTCATGCTGTACGTGCTCTTGGGAACAGTGCTCCTTGTTCTGCCCAGGAGGCAGCAAGGTTGGAGAACACCGGATAGCACATCCCCAGCACCCACCCTGCTACGCTCATCACTGAGGGCCACAGGGGCAGCCGCCATCGGCTCTGAGGAACTTGGCGTCACTGTGTTGGGCTGCTGTTCCTCCCGAGACTCGCTTCTGTTTCTACCTGTCTCTGTCCTCGGCTGTTTAAAGGTTGGTATCTGCACCCTATTTTCCCGATAAGAAAACTCGGAGAGGAAAGGACTCACACAGCGCTGGGGGCACCCTGGGCTCCAACCTGTGCTCCTGCCCGGGGCCCTCAGAGCACAGACAGGTCAGAGCGACACTGTGAGGGCTCACTCGGACGGGCACAGCGCAGGGGCACAAGGAAGCTTCTGGGTGGTGGGAGGGGAGGGAGAGAAGAGAGGACATACTGGGCAGGAAAGGATGGGTGTCCAGTGGGCACTGCCAGAGAAAAGCAGGGAGGAAAAGTGGGAAAGGAAGGAGGAGCTCACTGTGGGATCACACTGTCCACGGCACTCACAGCACTGTGGAGGGTCACTGTCCACAGCACCCACAGCACTATGGGGCATCACCATCCACGGCACCCACAGCACTGTGGGGCATCACCATCCACGGCACCCACAGCATTGTGGGGGGGTCACTGTCCACGGCACCCACAGCACTGTGGGCATCACCATCCACGGCACCCACAGCACTGTGGGGCATCACCATCCACGGCACCCACAGCACTGTGGGGCATCACCATCCACGGCACCCACAGCACTGTGGGGCATCACCATCCACGGCACCCACAGCACTGTGGGGGGGTCACTGTCCACGGCACCCACAGCACTGTGGGAACACACTGTCCACAGCACCCACAGCACTGTGGGAACACACTGTCCACAGCACCCACAGCACTGTGGGGCGTCACCATCCACGGCACCCACAGCACTGTGGGAACACACCATCCACGGCACCCACAGCACTGTGGGGGGTCACTGTCCCCGGCGCCCCCACCTCGCTGCAGTACAAAGGGGCTCTGTGACTCCAAGTGGTGCAGCAACTGTGCAGAGGGCGCCAGGCAGGAGCTGGGCAGGAGCTGGGCCGCAGGCTGCATTACAGCGCTGGGACTCAGACTCTGATCCCCCGGCTTAAAGGCAGACTTAAAGGCGAGAAGACAGCCAGCCCCGGAAGGGGTGAGTGGAGCAGAGTCGGGAGAAGGAATGACAAGCGGGCTGAGGGAGGCAGGGCGTGGAGGAAGGAGGAGCCTGCAGAGCCAGCGACCATTTGCAGTAGAAAAATCAACCAGCCTACGGCCATTAACACTGCCTCATGCAGCCCTGGAGCCCTGAGTGCTATGCGGTGCGGCCCTGCCTGAATTTCTTCCATGGGCTTTGGCTGTTTTTCTTCTGTTTCAGGGCCAGGCCTCTGCCTCTCAGTGCTCGGGGTCAGGAAATCTCTCATCTCCAGGCTGGCTTTCCAACCCTTTGGGGCATCTCTACTTATGTCCCAGGGTAACTCTAAATATTCAAGACACAATTATTTTTTAGTGAACTTCTTAAAAAATCTTTTCCGGGGCTGGAGGGAGAGATAGGGCGTTCACCTTGCGCGCGGCCGACCCGGGTTCAACTCCCAGCATCCCACATGGTCCCCTGAGCACCGCCAGGACTAATTCCTGAGTGCATGAGCCAGGAGTAATCCCCGTGCATCGCCGGGTGTGACCCAAAAAGCAAAAAAAAAAAAAAAAAAAAAGATCTTTTCCATGCGCACTTGTGAGGTATGGGGGGAAGGGAGGGGTGGGTCTGCCGTCAGAGAGGGCACCTCTGCTCAGTCTCTCTCGGGTTCCTGCCACCAGAGACAGGAGCCGCCACCCCAGCTCAGCCCCGCTCAGGAGCACCGGGGCAGAGAGTCGGCAGCTCTGCCTCCCTTTGCACACGGAGTTCACGGCTCATGGGCATCACTACCGGGGGCCAGGAGATACACGGAAGGAGATGCAAGAGCCTGGCATCAGGCTCCGGCTCAGTCCAGTCCCCATGAGGGAACCCCCACTGCTGTGGAGGAGGGCCACGGGGCCTGAGCACGGTGCTGGGGGAGAGCTCCGCTCACCTCGGTACTGCAGAATGTCCTCGGTGTAGGCCAGCATGCTGGGGAAGGTGCTGCTGAGGAACAGGCCCAGGCTGGCCGTCCCCACGAACAGGAAGGCGACATTGTAGGAGAAAACAAGGAGCATCAGGAACGTCACCACCACACCGACCTGGGGCAGTGGAGAGGGTGGGGATCAGAGGTGGGGGAGAGCAGGGAGAAAGGCAAAAGCCTGCAGCTGGGCTCCAGCTTCGGAAAGCTGCAAGACCGGGGCGCCCCCCTGTGGGCAATGTGGGGACTGCATCCCAGGCTGGTGTCTAAGAAATGAGACCTCAGGAACCGAGGTCTAAGAAATGAGACCTCAGGAACCGAGCCCCTGCTCCCGCCCCCGCCCACTCAGAGGGCAGCAAAAGTGGCTCAGGGCAGAGGTTCAGGCCTACCCTGCTACGATTGGGTGGATTGGGTGCCTCGGGAACTGCAGACAGCATGGCCCACCCATCACCTCTGTTGGCTGACCCTTGCCCTGAGGGAGGGCTGGGGGAGATGCAGGCCCTGAGCGTGGGCTGGAGGAAGCAGGACCCCGGTCCCTTGGAGACCATCCGACATGCCATTCTGGAAACTAAAGGAGCTCTGGGAACCAGCCAAGGGGCGCCGCGCCCTCTCCACAACCCCAGGACCAGAATGCCAGCACAGAATGATGGGGCCAGCATCCCCGCTGGACAGCAGCCGGCCAGAGGCGCCTCGCGGTCAAACCTAACCAGCACGGAAGCGTCATTCTCTGGAGTCTGGCCCAGGTCCTGCAGGGGCTGACCACTGCCCCCCAGCTCCAGGGGACAGGAATCCCCCCCAGTGGGCACGGCAGCGCCCGCCCCCCCATCCCTCTCCCCGTCTCCCTCACTTCCTCCCCTCAGTCTATACTCCTGCCAAACAAAATTCCCTGCTACTCAGAACTATCTGTGCGTCCCACACACTTCCCGTCCCCCATTCATTTGGTTTTACCACCCCCACCCCCTCCCGCCACACACTCGCCTCCCTCCTGCCACCCATCTACATAGGGGAGAAATTTCTTTTCTTTCTCTTGTTTTGCAGTGCCGGGATTGAACCCACTGAACCCGGGGGCTCACTCAGCAAGACAAGCGCGCCACTGCTGGCCCGGAAAACCCCTTCTTAAAGGTCATCAACCAGGGGCTGAAATAGCACAGTGGGTAGGGCGTTTGCCTTGCACGCGGCCGACCCGGGTTCAATTCCCAGCATCCCCTAGGGTCCCCTGAGCACCGCCAGGGGTAATTCCTGAGTGCAGAGCCAGGAGTAACCCCTGTGCATCGCTGGGTGTAACCCAAAACAGAAAAAAAGAAAAAAAAAAGGTCCTCAACCAAGGGCGAGACTCAATTCCTCAATTCCGCTGCTGGATGCCAAACTGGCCTCCTGGGCAGCCTAGTTCCTTGACGGCCTCTGTGCCTGTCTGGGAACTTAAGAATCACTTGGAAGGGGCATGTGTGTGTGTGTGTGTGTAAGGGATGTGCCTTACGAGGCAAGGCATGTGCCAGGCCCTGGGTTCCATCCCCAGCACACACAGTCCTCAGAGCAGGACTGAGCGTGTCCAAGTGCCCCCGAGTGCAGATCTGGGCACTGAACAAACCGATGACTTCCACAGTGGGCCCAGCACCAGGGGACAGACCGGAAGCTCCTCAGGCACTGCTAGGGGCAGTGCTTTTAAAAATACCTCTGGGGCCAGAGCGATAACACAACAGGTAGGGCGTTTGCCTTCACAAGGCAGACCGGGGTTCGATCCCCAGCATCCCACATGGTTCCCCGAGCACAGCCAGGAGTAATTCCTGAGTGCAGATCTAGGAGTAACCACTGTGCATCGCCGGGTGTGACCCCCCCAAAAATTACCCCTGGGGCCAGAGTGATAGCACAGTGGGTAGGGCATTTGCCTTGCATGCAGCCAACCCAGGTTCGATTCCCAGCATCCCATATGGTTCCCCGAGCACTGCCAGGAATAATTCCTGAGTGCAGAGCCAGGAGTCATCCCTGTTCATTGCTGAATGTGACCCAAAAAGAAAAGGAAAAAAAAAACGGGGGAAGCTTCAAAATGCAAATTCCCCCAGGCCCTGGCCCAGAGAGGACCCTGCTGGAGAGGATGTCCACCTGCTTGGGGACAACAGAGGAATGGTATGTGGGCCAGGCAGGACCCAAGCAGCCCCTGTCAGCTCTCAGGTCTGCTTTCACACAGCGGTGGTGAGCTGCACCTCTTCCTCCTAAGGGACCAAGCGGAGGCCAAGGAGGGGGGAGGGCCTTTCCAAGATCACACGTCGCCCGCCCCTCCAACCCCCCCAACCTCTGCCAGCATCTTCCACTCTTGCCCACATTCCTGCTGACTGGCCTGTCCAGCCCCGGGCAGCGGACGGTCTCTCACTCACCACGTTGACGAAGACCATGCTGGCGGGTCTCACCCTGGAGGAGATGGGGATGGAGACCAGGCGGCCCAGGGTGATGAAGCCCCAGAAGAGGCTGGGCAGGTAGCCGGCCGACTTGTGGCCCACAGACAGCGGCTTCTCCACGGCGTAGCTGTATACGAAGGCCGAGTAGGCCCCCTGCAGAGAGACGCCTCAGCAGCCTGGGCAGGTGGGCCTCTGCTCACAGACCACCCCCGCCCCCCGCCCAGGCGCAGGGGTCCAGAGACAGGGCCCTGGGGTGGGGGGTCCCTGGGGTCTGGTATGAGACACGGGAGCCCTTCCACGGGAACGGGGTCCACCACCGGCCTCATCTCAGGGATGATGTGTGCCAAGTGCCACGGCTAGAATGGCAGAGACGGGATCTGCTCAGGGGTGAGGTGGGCGTCCACCAGGACCACCAGACGCCCTTTCCACGGGAGCCTCCAAGTGTCTCCTAGCAATACTGCTGGGCGTTTGCTTGTGGTGCCGGGGTTGAACCCAGGCCTCATGCATGCAGGGCAAGTGCTCTGCGAGCCATGTACCCACCACTTAGGGGGTCCACTAAGCTTTCCACGACCTCTGCTTGGGCTCATCCCTGAGAGGGCAGTGGGTCCTGGCACCAGCCATGAAAGACTACCTGGGAGAATCATCAGAGATTTCTAGAACAGGCTGCAGAAAGGGAGGTTACAGCTGCCCCGAGCTCATTTCGACCCTGAGCGGGCATCCAGGAAGGATGCCAGGGTGTGAGTGCTCTCCCCAGGGGACCGGCCCAATCACCCACAGGGCAGTCTCCAGGGACCCTCCATCCCCTTCCTCCCATCCTCATCCTCCCCAGGCTGAGTTCCCCCACCCCCACCGAAGCCCCCTGAGGTGGCCTCACCGTGATGCCATCCGTCATGAACAGCACCAGGGCCGCCGAGATGTGGATGGCAAAGAAGGAGCAAGGGGCCCCTCGGCAGTTCCGCCGCCAGCAGCAGGCGAGCAGGTCTGTGTGGGGACAGAGAACGGGCCTGTCACAGGCCTCCCCCCTCGGGTCAAGGGGACAGAAGAGCCCTGGAGGCTGGGGCGGCCGCCCCCTGCCCCGGCCCTCTCTGCTGGCAGCTCAGGATCTGAGGATGCTGCCCAGGGCCCGCGGGTGAGGCCAGGCGGGGCAGAGGCCAGGCCGGGTGCTGGGCGGCTCCAAACCCACGAGACGCAGGGTCCAGCCCGCTTTCCACCGCGTCCTCTGGGACCGGTGTCGTCCAGCGGCTGGGGAAGGGGCAGTCAGGAAAAGTCCACCAGAGCTCCCACCTGGGTGTGGCTGAAACTTGGGGGGCAGTGAGGAGGAGGTGGAGGAGGAGGAGGCGTCTTCCTGCTCCGGAGGCCGCGTCTCCAGGGCCAGCTCGTCCGCCGACAGGAGCAGGGGCCGGCGCTGGGGGCAGGTCAGTAGCCTCTCTTTGGACAGCAGGAACAGCACAGCCAAGGGCACCGGGAGCTGAAGGGTGGGCACAGGGTCAGGCTCCCCTCTCGGGCCTGGTTCCCGCCCCACACACACACACCCGGCCGCACCGGTGTCCAGCACACAGCAATGTCCTTTCCCGAGGCTGCTCACCCAGGGAGGTCTCCCTTGGCCATAATGCCAGCGACAGGCCTCACCTGGGGCAGGTGGGCACAGTGGTCACTGTCCACCCTTTACCATATGCATCGCCCAGAAAAGAGGCTCATCACAAGCAGAGCTGGACCTGACCTTATTCTGGGGGGCCGTGTGGTGCTGGACTGGAATCCCACCCCCAAAGGCAAGGCCTGTGTCCAGCACTCAGAGCTATGCCCTGGCCCGAGAAATTGGACCGACTGTCTTCCTTCCCTTCCTCTCTCCCTCCTTCCCTCCCTTCCTTCCTTCCTTCCTTCCTTCCTTCCTTCCTTCCTTCCTCCCTCACTCCTTCCTTCCTTCCTTCCCTCCTTCCTTCCTTCCTCACTCCTTCCTTCCTTCCTTCCTTCCCTCCTTCCTTCCTTCCTCCCTCTCTTCCTCCCTCTCTCCCTTCTTCTCTCCCTCCCTCCCTCCCTCCCTCTCTTCCTTCCTTTTTTCTCCCTTCCTTCCTTCCTTCCTTCCTTCCTTCCTTCCTTCCTTCCTTTTTTCCTTCCTTCCTTCCTTCCTCCCTCCCTCTTCCTCCCTCTCTCCCTTCCTCCCTCCCTCCCTCCATCTCTCCCTTCCTCCCTCCCTCCCTCCATCTCTCCCTCTCTCCTTTCCTTCCTTCCTCCCTCTCTTTTCTTTCTTTCTCAACTTACTTCTGTCTCTGCACTCAGGGATCATTCCTGCCTGTACTCAGGGGACCAGAGCAATAGCATTAGCAGACAGGGCGTGTGCCTTGCATGCAGCCGACCCAGGTTTGATTCCTCCGCCCCTCTTGGAGAGCCCAGCAAGCTACCGAGAGTATTCTGCCCACATGGCAAAGCCTAGCAAGCTACCTGTGTCATATTTGATATGCCAAAAACAGTAACAACAAGTCTCACAATGGAGACATTACTGGTGCCCGCTCGAGCAAAGAGATGAACAACGGGAGGACGGTGGACAATGGTACTCAGGAGACCAAATGGGGTGCCAGGGATCAAACCTGGGTTTGCCACATGCAAGACAAGCGCCCCCCCCCCGCCCCACTGTACTATCTCTGCAGCCCCTGAAAACTCGTCTAACAACCTCATTCTGAACACAGCTGGAGTCTCTTGCCCCTTCATGCTGGCAGATCACATGCAGTCATATAAAGACATTTTCTCCTGCTTCCAGCTCTATAAAAAGTGCTGGGGAGGCGGGGGTGGCTGTTATTCCCACTTTCCAGATGGGGCACCTGAGGCTCGGTGCTCACGGCATCGGCATCGTAACCTGCTCCAGCTGGAAGAGAGCCGAGTGGTAAGCCAGACACCCCGGAGCCGCGAGGGCTGAGTTAGAACAGGCTGTCCCGGGAGCACAGTCACCCCAGGGGCCTGGGGGTGGTGCCCGAGGGCTGCCCTGGGCGGGGTATCCACACTGGGAAACAGCCGCAGAAGCCTTTCGAGTTGACAACGCCTGCCTCATGCACACGGACCCGGCACTGTGCTTGCTGTGCTCGCCGCAATGCTCCGCAATGCTCCCGCTGAGGCCTGAGCTGAATCTCCAGGGCAATGTTGGTCTCAGGCTGCTGGGGTTGCCTGGAGAAGAGCCTCGCCTCCCCCTCCCCCACAGACACCCGCTGTGCCCGGGCCCAGCCTCCACCCCGGGGGAGCGGCCGGGTCTCTCCCTGTGCTCCCCATGGAAAGCTGGGTGCTCCGTGGGCAGCTGTCCCTGCAGACCCCACCTGCACGTGCCCGGGGAGCCCCAGAGAAGCCTCCTCCAGCTGCCCACACAGCGCAGGGCCTCCGGAAGACTCGGGAGTCCGCGCCTGACAGGGAGGGGCGACGTCTGTCTGTCTGTCTGTCAGTCTGACGGGAGAAACAGGAAACCACACAGCAGCGGGGGCGGCTCAATGCCTGGGCGAGGGCCAAGGGGAAACAGCTGTAAAAGGGGCGTCGGGTGGGGCTTTCCTGGGAAGGGGCTTCACTGACGGTCCGCTGGCGTGGACAGGGCTCACGGGGTCTTTCTAAGGCGGTGCCGCTTTACGTGGTGCCAAGGCACGTGCAGGTGTGAGGGTTGGAGTATGTGTGTAGATGTGAGTGTGAACACGGAATGTGCGAGTGTGTGAACGTGGGTAGTGTGTGGTTGTGTATGCAGTGTGCGAAGGTGTGTGTTTGTGCTGAACACGCGAACGTCTGTCAGTGTGCGTGTGTTTGTATGAGTATGGGGAGGGTGAAGGTGTGCATGTGTGTGAGTGTGTGAGTGAACATCTGTCAGTGTGTGTGTGTTTGTGTGGTGTGAGTATGAAGTGTGTAAATGTGTGTATGTGAGTGTGTATGTGTGGGGGTCAGTGTGTGTATGTGTGAATGAATCTGGAGTGTGTGAATGTGTTTATGTGTGTGAGTGTGTGAGTGAGCGTCTGTGTGTGTTTATGTGGTGTGGGTATGTATTGTGTAAATGTGTGTGTGGTATGTGTGTGTGATGAGTGTGTGAGCATCTCTGAGTGTATCAAAGTGTGTATGTCTGTGATTGTCTGGGTGTGTGTGTATGTGTGTGTGTGTGTGTGTGTGTGAGAGAGAGAGAGAGAAAGAGAGAGAGAGAGACAGAAAGAGAGTGTACCAGTGCCCACATGCCTGTGTAGCCCTGTTCTCTTCCATGATGGACTATTTCTCTTAGACACAAACCAGCACAAAAAGGTCCAGAAATCCAGAGCTAGAGCAATAGCACAGCTGGTAGGCCACTTGCCTTGGACGCAGCTGACCCTTGTTAAATCCCCGGCATCCTGAATGGTCCCCAGAGCCTGCCAGGAGTGATCCCTGAGTGCAGAACCAGGAGTAACCAGTGAGCTCAGCTGGGTGTGACCCACAAACCAGCCAAACAAACAAACAAACAAAAAAGCCCGGCAATCTTCAGTGCTCAGGGGGCCTCCCCGTCCTAGTCTCAGCCTGACGTGAGTGTGCCGGGCTCTGCCAGTCCAAGACTGGGCCCCCACTCTCTCAAACAGCAATCACAGGGGCTGAGAAGGGCAGATGCAGAGGGTGGCGACCTGCGGGGACCCAGGAGGACTCTGGGGCGGGGGAGAGGCAAAGGAACCTTGAGCGGGAAGGGGCGTGGGGGCTGTGTGGGAGTAGGGTCCGGGCACCTGCCTCCGCCCAGCCCTTCCCAGCCTGTGCAGGGGCTGCCAGGGGCATCCGGGGCTGTAGCCAGGGAGCACCTGTGCCCACTGGGGATGGTGGCATATCTGCAGGGTGCCAAGAGACCTGGTGGCACCCAACTGGTGAGTGGCCTGGAGCAGTGTCCCCCCTCCCCCCACTCCCTCTGCCCCCTCCAAGCGTGAGAGGGGCCCTCTCAGATGCAGAGGCCCCTGTTCTCTGCAGACTGGGGCCCCCAGCCCTGCGCTCCCCTCACAGCCGGGGTAGGCAGAGTCCCGGAGCTCCTCTTGCCCATCCCCTGCTCCCCAGAGGAGCCACAGCCCAGACGGAGAGGAGTATCAGATTGTCGGAGAGGAGAGACCTGCAGATGGGGTTCTGGGTGGGGAGGGTACGTCCCCGAGGTGCCATATGTGACCAGTGACCCCGGCTGTGTTTTTTTTTTCTTTTTGGGTCACAACCAGCGATGCACAGGGTTTACTCCTAGCCATGCTCGGGGGACCATTTGGGATGTGGGGAATCGAACCCGGTCAGGCCACGTGCAAGGCAAATGCCCTACCTGCTGTGCTACGGCTCCAGCCCCGGCCCTGACCGTCTTTGTGCTCCACATGCCTGCTGCATCGGCACCCCCTGAGACTCGCCCTCCTGGGATGGCATACTGAAGGGGGGGGCAAGGTAGACTGGGGTCGTCAGACTCTGCCTGGGAGTGAACACAGTCTGGTGTGCACGGGCTGCCCACCCAATGCCCTGCCCCGCGGTGGACACTCACGTTGATCAAGGCCATGATCCAGAAGGCGTAGGACACACGGGTCCCTGCCCCGCTCTGGGGGGGCGTCCTGGGGGGCAGCGTCGGGTTGGCCAGAGGGGTGTGGTGCTGGGTCCCGGAGACATGAAGCATGCGGGCCCCAGTTGTGGCGTTGGCTGTGGCGTTAGCAGTGCCGTTGGCCGGCAAGCAGCTGGCCTCCGACAGGAAGGGGTCGGCGATGAGAGGACTCAGCAGGGCGCCAAAGCCCACGAAGAAATGGAGAACCTGGGCGGGAGAGATGGCTCTAGCTTCACACCCCCTCACCTCACTGCCCCGCTGGGAGATGGGGGCTTGCCTGGCCCCGGAGGGGGCACCACAGGAAGTGGAGACAAGGAGTTAGGGTGAAGGGCCTCACAGCATCCTGCTTGCTCATTGGTTCCCTAGTCCTAATCTCAGCTGGGGGGCTGGCCCGAACCCAGGGTTAGGAGGGAGGCTGGCAGGAGGAAGGAGGGAGAGCGAGCTCTGCAGGTTCCCACCCACACAGCCCCTGTCCCACGTGAGAGACCCAGGCCCAATTGTCTGCACGGTCCCAGGACTGGTGGCACAGGGCTGGGACGCGGACTCCTTCTGCGTCACCCCCACCAGGGCCGGGCATGTGCCATGTGCTGCTGCCCCTGCTGGCGCACCTGCAGGAAGATGGCCGAGTCCTTCTGGTAGATCCTCACCAGCTGCATGTTGGCCACGGTGTCGATGCAGCCCATGGCCAGGCCCGCCAGCGCCATGACCGAGGCCAGCACCTTCACGTTGTGGCACAAGGGGATGACGGCGAACACCACGGAGATGGCCAGCGAAGCGGTGAAGAGCACCCACAGCGACTGCGCCAGGCTGCAGGGGTGGAGGGGGGCGGGAGGTCAGGGGCGCTGGAGCCTGCCACCAAAGGGCCCCGTCCTCCCAAGCCACTGGCTGGGTGGACCGGGGGGAGCCCACACACCTGTTCCACCCTTGCTGGGAAGGGGCAGGCGTGTGGGACAGGCAGCCCTGTCACCTCCCGGCTGCAGGTTGGAGTGAGCCGTCCCCACGGCTCGTCAGCTTGAGCTCCAACCCTGTCCTCATGGGGGCCCAGAAGCGAGGTGGTGTGGCTGCCGTGGGCACAGGGGAGGACTGGCTGACTCCGCCCTTACATGCCCTTTCAGGGGGTGGCAGGATTCCTCGTGGACACAGGGATGGAAACGTCGCCCAGTGCTTTGTTTGCGTTAGGCTGGAACTTCCAGGACGGAAGCCCAGGGCTGTTACTGGGTCCCCCTCGATATGCAGAGTCTGTGCTGGCCAGAGTGGATGGGAGACCCCGTGGGACTTTCCTGCCACAGGAGCCAGAAACGGGGGTGCTGAGGTCCGTCCCCTCGTGAGTGAAGAAATAAACAGCACATGAAGCCCTGTCCAGGTCTCTGTGTGCACTGGGCACAACAACCAGAAGGGAAGACATTCCTGGGACCAGCTCACGCAGGAAGAAGGTTCTGGAAGAGAGAGGTTATGGAGGAACCCCTCATAGCTGGCTTGGTGCATGAGGATCCCTCTGGTGGTGCTCAAGGGACTATGCGATGCTGGGGAGCAAACCCGGGTCTCCCCCATGCAGGTACACACTCCAGCCCTTTGCGCTTCTCTCTGGCCCAGTCCCTTACAGGAAACTGGGAAGCACCATCAGCCTTCGCCTGGCTGCTGGCCTGGCAATGAGGAGGAGATGAGGGCCAAGGAGATGCAGTGAGCTGCTAGTAAGCACAGATACAGGGAGCAAGGCCCAGTGGCGGTGGGGCTGGGGGATGCACCTCTGGCTCTTCCCAGACCCAAGCCTTGGCCTTGGGCATGGTCCCTGCTCCTCACCTGGTCCCTCCCTGAAGCCTGCATCTGCGGAATCGGGGTCCCAGTCACCAGGCTGGTCAGCTGCACAGTTACTGACCACGGTCCTGCCTGTTTGGCTCAGCTGTGTGTGTGTGTGTGTGTGTGTGTGTGTGTGTGTGTGTGTGTGACTTCACTGCTACTAGGAAGTTTGAGTTGTGGGGATACCATTAAGGTCCTTCCACACCCAGACTCCACCTGGCACCCCAGCAACCAGTCTGGCCACTCACCGTACGGGTTTCTGCCCATGCCTGTGTAGGATGGTGGTGATGGCCTCGCTGCTGCCCTGTCCTGCACAAGAGAGATGAGGCGACCTCCTTGGGCCTCACTTCAGGGTCAGATGAGGACCCCTTGCTCCCTCTCGCTGATGAGGGTGCCACCTCTCACCACTGTGACGTCCTAACCCAGAGAAACTCTCTCCAATGAGCATATATCATCTGCCCTGGAAAACCTGAGGGCAGTGGCTAAAATCAATCCTGGGGCAGAGTCCTGAGGTACGGACCTGGGAGCGGCAAACTCCAAGGAAGGAGCTGAGGGAGGCATGGGAAAAGGAAAAGCAGCGATGTGCATGCATCTCCCATGACAGCAACGAACTGTGTCTTCAGGGGTCAAGGCTTGTGGCACATGTGACACACTTTGCAATGGTACCTCTTTGGCTCACAGCTTAGAAAAAGGGAGACTGAGGAACTCACTGACAGAGCCTGGACCCAAGCCCAGACCTTCTCTCTTTGGCCTCCCGTACACAGCTGCTTATCCTGAGAATGTGTGTGGTGTGAGGTATGCGTGTGTGGCCTGTATGTAACTGAGGCATGTATGTGCGTGACACGTTAAATTTGGGGACTTGTTTGGGCCCACACCCTTCAGTGCTCAGGGGACCATATGCAGTGTCAGGGATTGAAGCTGGGTCAGGGACGTGCAAGGCAAGTACCCTACCCACTGAACTATCACTCCAGCCTGAGGTATGTGTGTTGAAGGATGTGTTTGAAGTCTATCTGGCATGTATGTGTGGCATGCCATATGCATGTGTGGGGTATTTTCATGTGAGCACGTGTGTGTGAACTGTGTATGTAAACTATGTGTGTGATGTTCATGTGAGTGTGTGTAAATCATTTGTGTATAAACTATGGGTGTGAAGTGTATGTGCATTTGTGTGATGTGTGCATGTCTATGAAGTGTATGCATGGGTTTGTGCATGCATGTGTGAGGTATGCATGTGAGGTATGTGCATGTATGTGTGTAAAGTGTGTGTGCATGTGTGTGAGGTCTGCAAGTGTGTGTACAATGTGTGTATGTGTGAGTGCACGGGAGGTCTGTGTGCATGTGAGGTGTGTGAGGTGTGCGTGCATACGTGTGTGAAGTATGTGTGTGCATATTATTGTGCATGAGGTATGTGTGTACATGTGTGTGAGGTGCGTGTATATACGTGAGGTGTGAGGGGTATGTATGTGCATGTGAGGGGTGTATGTGAGGTATCTGTGCAGGTGTGTCTATGTGAGGTGTGTGTGAGGTGTGTGCATATGCATAAGGTGTGCGTGTGAAGTGTGTTCTGTGTGAGATATGTGTGTGCATGTGAGGAGTGCATGTGAGATGTATGTGTGAGGTATGTGAGGTGTGTGCATATAAGGTGTACATGTGAAGTGTGTGCATGTAAGGTATGTACATGTAAGGTGTGCAAGTGAGGTGTGTGCATGTGCATAAGGTGTGTGTGAAGTGTGTGCATGTGTGTTGTGTGCGAGGTATGTGTGTGTGGTATATGCACGTGCATGAGGTGTTTGCATGTGTGCGCATAAGATGTGTGTGCATTTGTGTGACGTATGTGAATGTGTGTGCATGTGAGGGGTGTGTGTGAGATGTGTGCATGTGAGGTGTGTATAGAATGTGCATGTGAGATGTGTGTGAGTTGTGTACATGTGAGGGGTGTGTGTGTGAGTTGTGTGCATGTGAGATGTGCATGTGAGGTGTGTGTGAGGTGTGTGCGTGTGCACGAGGTGTGTGCAAAGTGTGTGCATGTGTGTTGTGTTAGATATGTGTGCGTGTGTGTGATGTGTGTTCATGTGCATGAGGTAAGTGTGTGCATGTGTGGGTGAATGTGTGTACACGTGAGGGGTTTGTGTGAGGTGTGTGTGTCCGGTGTGTGTGTCAGGTGTGCTTGTGAGATGTGTGTGTGGGGTGTGAGCATGTGAGGTATGTATGTGAGGGGTGTGTGTGAGGTGTGTGTACATGTGAAGTATGTGTGAGGTGTGTGAATTTGAGGTGTGCATGTGAGGTGTGTGTGGGGTGTGTGTGCATGTGGGGTGTGTGCATTTGAGGTGTGTGTGTGTGAGGTGTGCGTGCATGCGTGAATGCATGTGAGGTGTGTGTGAGGTGTGTGTGTGCGGTGTGTGCATTTGAGGTGTGCATTTGAGTGTGTGTGGTGTGTGTGCATTTGAGGTGTGTGGTGTGTGTGCATGTGAAGTGTGTGAGGTGTGTGCATTTGAGGTGTGCGTGCGTGCATGTGTGCATGTGAGGTGAGGCGTGTGTGAGGTGTCTGCATTTAAGGTGTGCGTGCATGCGTGTGTGCATGTGAGATGTGTGTGTGGTGTGTGCATGTGAGGTGTGTGGTGTGTGTGTATGTGAGGCGTGTGAGGTATGTGAATTTGAGGTGTGCGTGCATGCCCGTGTGCATGTGAGGTGTGTGTGTGTGAGGTGTCTGCATCTGAGGTGTGCATGCATGCGTGTGTGCATGTGAGGTGTGTGTGTGAGGTGTCTGCATTTGAGGTGTGTGTGCATGCATGTGTGCATATGAGGTGTGTGTGTGTGAGGTGTTTGCATTTGAGGTGTGCGTGCATGGTGTGTGCATGTGAGGTGTGTGCATTTGAGGTGTGCATGTGAGGTGTGTGTGGTGTGTGTGCATGTGAGGTGTGTGAGGTGTGTGCATTTGACGTGTGTGCATGCGCGTGTGCATGTGAGGTGTGTGTGTGAGGTGTCTGCATTTGAGGTGTGCGTGCATGTGTGTGTGCATGTGAGGTGTGTGTGAGGTGTGTGTGTGAGGTGTATGCATTTGAGGTGTGCGTGTGCATGTGAGGTGTGTGTGTGAGGTATCTGCATTTGAGGTGTGCATGTGTGGTGTGTGTGAGGTGTGCGTGTATGCGTGTGTGCATGTGTGTGTGTGTCTATAGGCTGGCCCCGGACCACAGCTGCAGGCTGGCAGGAAGCAGGAGCCGCTCTGCAGAGCGCAGAGACGGCGGCCTAGGGAGCACTGACACAGCTGCTAGCTAGGACACGAGCCCCCAGTGGTCCTGTTCCCTGTATGCTGCAACTCCCCCCTCCCACTCTGCCTCAAGGAGCTGCTCCTGCCGCAGCCTGCTGGTTTCCGGACCCCCGCCAGGCACCTTGTGGGGGGTGGGGGGCAGGGGGTCCTGAAGGGGAGCTGGGTGCAGGCTGTGATGTTTGTGGGAACTTGTCTATGTGTTGTGGCCTGGCGGGGCAGGATGGGAGCCACAGGGAGACAGAAGGTGCGAGACCAAGAGATCAAGATTGATAAGGGCCAGGAAGATGCCGAGGGGCTCGGCAGGAAGGGGATGGGGAGGCTGGGGGCTGCCCTGTCCTCTACCCCATCTGCCTCTCACCTTGCTTGCAGAGGACACTAGCTGCACGGGCAGCTTTTCATCTCCAGGCCCAGTGACAAGCAGGAGAGAGGCAGGGAGCCCTCGCCCACCTCTCCCGCAGGGCCTCGATTCCAGCTGGGGCTGGCCAGGGCTCAGCCCACCTTGCAGGAGGGTTCCTGGCAGCCGACAGACGGGCTTGGACCGCTGGCCACAGGAAACCTCGCACAGTCTGCAGGATGCCTGGACAGCTGTGTCTGGACACCAAACAGCAGCTTGAACCAATTTCTTTAAAACGGCCTGTTGTTGCCAAGAAAAGGGCAGCCCCAGTCACATCCCAGAGCCCGGGTGGAACACTAATTGGCTCGGTCACTTAATGGTTTAATCAACTGCCCTTTCCAGGAATGT